AGCTGAGGTCTGGAGAAGTAATTAGTCAGAGGGTGAAGAGGGAGCAAGGGTAGAGAAGGGAGTGCCAGGTAGAGGGCACAATGGAGGCAAAGACCTGGAGATGAGGAAAGGGAAGGGTAAAGGTTCAGCATGGTGGAGTCCCCACATATTTGGGGACTGAGAGAGGCTGGAAGAGGTCAGAAGAATAAGTGCTGGGTGGCAAACTATGGTGTTCAGACCAAAAAGGAGACCTGCAGGTGTCCAGGCAGGAGCGATGTATGGCCTTGACCAGGAGACGGAGATGGGGATCAATGGATGGATTGAAGAGACCATTAAGAGTAAAATGGTACAGCATGATTATGGATTGGGAATGGATTATGGATTGGAGAGGGGGAACTGTCTGTGAGAACCCCAGATTTCTGGTTTGGGCAGCTGGGGAGATGGTGGCCCTGTGCACCCAGGCAGTGTAGCACACCCTGCTGGCCTATCCCCCACCCCTTTTTATGTCAGTCCTTGCTGATTTCCAATAGCCAGCGTCTGCATGCCTTTGCCCAGGCTTCTCTAGTCCCTGAAGAGCTTCTTTAGCCTCTAGAGCTTATTTTACCACAGGAAGAGCCAGAGAGTTAACAGGGAGCAGCTACTGCTCAGTAACTAGTAAGAGCTGGAATGTAAATACCTCAGCTCCCTTGCCGCCTGAGGGAGAACTCCCAGGTGCATGTTCTACACGGGATCCCAGAATTCCCCAGCAGGATTGGCTCTGGCTGCCTACCGGGAAAGCTGACTTCTTAATGTAGGCTTTATTGGGTGCATCACCTCTCTCCCACATGCGCCTCTGCCATTATTTTCTAATCGCCTCCCAGGTCAATCACTTGCACTTGAACCCATGTCTCAGGTCTGGTTCTGAGAAAATCCAAACTAGAGCACACAGTCAATAGGGAGTATCTCAGGATTAGGGCAGGTGGGGAGTATGGTATGTCTGGAAGGTTCTGTTCTCATGGCCCCATCTGAGGTGCTTGAGCTCTAGCTCCTGCCCTTTTCCTGGGTGAGATGGGCCTGGCCTGGGGGCATGGCTGGTTGATTCTCCATCCTTAACACACAGAGCCGCAATTTTTGATCAGGCAGGAACAGGCTCAAGGAAGGAAAGCTCTTCCCCAGCCCCAAAGGAGCAACCACAGCTGGCCCAACATGCTAAGGCCCATGGTGTGGAAAGAGAAAGGGCCTCTGGGTCCTTGATGGCATCCTTGAACTACCCAAACCATCCTGGAAGCCTCTACCTCCAAAAATCTTGATCGATACAACTATTAAATGAGAAAAAGAGTTGAGTGTAAACGTTAAGGGCAGATACCCAATGTCTGGATTTGCATCTCAGCTCAGCCACTGACTAGCTGTGTGACCGTGGGCAACTTTTTTACCCTCTCTGAGCTTCCATTTCCTCATCTGTAAAATGGGGATATTAACAGTGCCACTGTCAGGCTGTTGTGAGAATTAACTGAGTCAATACAAGTAAAAGCACAGCAGTGTCTGCACATACTAAGTGTTCTCTGTAAGAGTTAGCTATGGCCATTATTACCATTATGCCAGGCCTTCTCTACTTAATGTGCATACAAACCACCTAGGGGTCTCATTAAAATACAGATTCTGATTCAGTGGGTCTGGGGTAGAGGATGAGATTCCGCATATTTAACAAGCTCCCATGCCAGTGTTGCTGGGCTGTGGACCGTCCTTTGAATACAAGGGCTGAAGCCATTGTCCATTGGTATTATATAACCTGGGACTCAAGGAATCTTCACTGACAAGAGTGCCCAACCTACATGCACCCTTTCCCCATCCCTGACACCTGGCTGGGAACATAGCATTTCCCAAGTTTTCTATACCTGTCCACTGCAGCTTACCCCACACTGTTAGTTGCTTAGTGAGTGCCCAAGAGTGGAAGCTCATGGAGGTCAGGGTGTCTGAGGTGCCCAGCCCAACTGCCTGGCACATTCTAAGTGCTCAATCACATCTGCTGAAATGAAAATCCATGTGGGAACACTCCTGTGCCCATTTGCAGGAATACATATGCCTAGTGATCAGCGCAGACAGACAGACCCAGCGGTGCCAGGAGCTGCAGCCTCCCAGGGGCTGCTCAAGCGAGGCTGGCTCCCTGTAAGCCTCAGCTGGGCTGGCAGAAGCCCAAGGGGTGGGGAGAGGGGAGAACAGTCACATCCCTTCCTGTTTCAGAGCCTGGCATTTGGGCCCGAACAGTGCCCAAAATGCCTGGAGAACAAAGAGGCTGACTAGAGCTCAATGTCTCCACCAGTCCCTTCTGTGTCCCTACCTCACCCAGGTGTTGAGCAGGTGGCAGCGCCCGGCCTGGCTGGGATCCACCAACACTCAGCCCCTCTTAGGAGGCCAAGACTGACCCCACTGCTGGACCCGGCACCCTCCAACCCACCTGATACCTCCTCAGTTGGGCTCAGAACACCCACCTGAGAGCTTTTAGTAATCATAATCATCACGGCCAGCACTTACTCAGTGCTTACGCTGCAGTAAGCACTTTACAGACACAATTGTATCTGGGGTAGCTCACTATATCCATTAGAATACAACTGACCATAGCAGCAAAATAGCCAACAAATAGTGGCTTCATTAACAACAACAATAATAGCTAACAATTACAGTGCCAGTCACTGTGCTAAGCACTTTCACATGTATTAACATATTGAACCCTCACAACAACTCTGTGTCTGCACTGTTACTATCCCTTTTCTATAGATGAAGAAACTGGGCTCAGAGAGGTGAAGTAACTTCCCTAAAGCCATACAGCTACTAAGAGGCTCAAATGAACCACACACCAGGGCTATGTCATTCTTGAGTCCTGGCTTTGAACCTCTCTGTAATGTAATTAGGCTCTCTGGTCCCTTAAAGCCTATTACAGCAAACAGTAACAAGAGCCATGTTCCAAACATCTGTCACCTGCAGACATCACCTCGTTTCTTCCTCACAACACACTCTGATGATGCGCCCCTAGGTCATGCGGCCTTTCTGAACCTTCCCTTCCTCTTCTATAAACGGAAATGCAGGTTTCACTTCCCTGCTACTGCTCACTGAAGCACGCTGCCCTTCCCATTGTCTAGCCTTCCAGACCCGCCCATGAGGCTGACAGATGTTTACTGGCCTCCTCAAACATTCGAAAGGCCCACTGATGTGCCTAAGTCCACCCAGGGGCATAAGTGGCAGAGCCAGGGCGAGGACCTGAGCTTCCTGGCTCCCTGACACTCAGACCTGTCAGCAGCGTCCCACTGCTCCCCAGATGCTGAGAATATCTTCCTCCAAGTTCTGCTGCCTTGCCATGATTCTCAGGTTAAAGAAAACACTGGCTCCCTTCCTCCTCCTCCTCCTCTCCCTTCCGCTGTCCTCCTCCTGTTCTCTCCCACGGGAAAGTCTCGCTACGAGGTGGGTGGAACAGCAGCATCTGCTAAGGCAAGGCCATTCACGAGGCTGGAGATGCCCAGTTTAGGAGGGGCTGGAGGTGGGGAAAGGGGAAGGCTTTTAGCTAACAGGAGTCCCCAACTGAGGGGCAGGGCCAGAATGAAGGGAAGCAAAAGGTGGAGGCCAAGCCCCAGCCCTGCCCCCCAGTGCCTGTGTGTATGTCCTTGCACAAGTCACTTAGCCAGCACTGTTCAACAGAATTTTCTATCATGATGGAAATGTTCTATTTTCTACACCATCCAATATCGTTGTCGCTAGCCACAAGTTGCTAGCAAGCACTTGAAATACGGCTAGTGCAACAGAACAGAAAGTGTCATCTTATTTAATCAGCCACATGCATCTAGTGGCTACTTTGCTGGATAGTTGTGGCACTTAACTTTTCTAAGCCTCAGTCTTCCCGTGTGCACAAGAATCATGACATCCCAGTCCACCTCCCTGACTTTAGAGGACAGCTCGGACCATCAGGCAATGTAGCACTGTGAAATAACCCCTGGCTGGGAGTCAAGACTCCTGGGTTCCACACGTGGTAGCACGCTTTGTGATGCAGAGTGAGCTCCTTAACCTCTCTGAGTGCCCTGGTCATCTGTATGATAAGGAAGTCATTTTGGATCAAAGTTTCTTTCATCTGGGGAACCATGCATGGTTTTAGGGGAATCTGAGAATACCCTATCATTATGAGAAAAGCATGTTTGCAGGACTGTGTGTGAGAGAATGTGTGTACATGCACTGGGGGCTGTGTGTATGGGGAAAATTGGGCCCATTGCTTTCCCGAAATTCTCAAAGGGGTCTGTGAAAATGAGAAACCCCTAGTCTAGGTGAATTCTTTGAGGGTAGGCTTTTTAACAGTGGAGTTCTCAGGCCACACTCCCAGAGATTAATTCAGCAGCTTGGACATGGGGCTCTGAGATCTGCATTGGTAACGTGCTCCCCATGATTCTGATGCGAAGCCGACAGAGGGAAACGCTGACAAGGAGCAGGCTGCACTACTGTCTAGTGAGCTGATGCTCAAGAAACGCCTTTATAAAAAGAAGTACTATATATTTTTCAAAACCAACAGGAAATAAGAAGCTAAAAAGAGGAAATAATGATAATAAAGCCCCTCTCTACCCCCTTCTTTATTTCTTAAGCAGCACTAATACTTAGTGCCAAACACTGCCTTATGCTGTGTATAAATATTACCCTTGCATTATGTGGATTATAAACATCTAATCCTCATAACACCCCTATGAAGCTGATGCTGTTAATCCCATTTTACAGATGAGGAAAGTGTGGCAGAGAGACCTTGCCCAAGGTCACACAGTAGGAAAGGGGTGGAGCCAAGATTCAAATCCAAGCAGTTGGGCTCCAGAGCCTGCGTTCTGCTCACTCTCCCTTGGGGCTTTGCTGTTATACTGTGTCTCTTCTGAAGTTGAGGATGAACTTGGAGCCCTGAGCTGGTGCCCACCACAACCTGGAGCTGCTCCAGGGTTCCCAGAGGGGTTGCTTGGTCCCTCCCATAGCCCACTGCAGAAGACTGCAAGCACCAGGAAGACCGGTGGCCCCACACTCACTTGCCCTCCGAGCCATAGCTGTTCATGCTGTCCTCGATGGACTCGTGGCTGGCCTGGCGCAGCGTCCGGCTGGGCATCTCCACTGCAAGGCCCGTCTCTGTGCTCCTCTGGATGGCCCCCTTCAGCCTCCGGCTGTCCCCTTCTGGGCAAAGTGGCCAAGAGGGATGGGGAGAGAGACACAGGTGGGAGGGGGACAGAGAGAAGAGTCATCTGGTTAACGGTGTTTCAGCAGCTGGCGGCTGTCCAGCTTCAACCTGCACCCCCAGACCATCAACCTCCTTGGACCCTGGCTTCACCAGTACCCACCCTACCAACAAACAGTATTGCATGAGTTTTGTTAAATGATGGATTCATTTACATGTGCTTTTTCTCCCCTTGATTCATTTCTTCCCTGCCACCTTTTCCAAATCATTTCTCTTCCTCCTCTTCAGCTACTATTTATTGAGCACCCATTATGTTTCCTACTGTGTCAAGTGTTTTGCATGGATTTTGGCCAGGCTTTCTTGACCTCAGCAGACTGGCACTTTGGATGGCATACTGCTGTGCACTAGGGGCTGCCTTGTGCATCACAGAATGTCTAAAAGTATTTCTGGCCTTTGCCCACTACATGCTAGTAGCACCCCCCACCCCACCCTGCTCCTGTCCAGTTGCCGCAATCAAAAATATCTGCAGACATTGCCAAATAGTCCCTAGGCAGCAAAAATCACCATTGATCAAGGACTACGCACTCTGAAACCAGATCACATGGGTTCAAATCCTGGATATCTTTCTCGGTGGCTGGGAGACTTTGGGCAAGTTACTCAGCCTCTCTGTGCCTCTATTTGCACAACTGCAAAGTGGGAGAACAGCAGTCTCCTATGAGGCTAGATGGCTCCCATCAGCAGCCTATTCCTCCTTCCATTCTTGGTCAAACATCACCTTATCCAAGATCTTTCTTGACTACTCCCAGCCGCTCCAAAACAGCAGCCTCTCCCACCCCCTGCCCCACTCTGCCCTGACTTCTGCTTTGGTTTTCCTCCTAATGCTCACCACCCAAATGCATTAGACAATGTTGGTGTTTTGGCCAGCTTCCTCCGCTAAGACTGTAAACTCCATGAGGACAGGGAACTTTGTTCACTCTGAGGCCTCAGCACCAAGAACAGGGTCTAGACCACTGTAGAGCTCATCTAGTAACCATAAGATGGACCAAAGTCTGCCTTGAGAGCAGCCTCAATTCTCACAACCAACCATAAAGTGAATGCTGCTGTTTACCGCCATCCAGTGCCCAAAATGGGAGGCACAGAGACGTCAGGACTTGTCCACGTTGGTAGAGCTGGCAAGCCGGGGAGCCAGGACACAACCCCAGGAGGGTGTCTGCTCCCTGCTCCATGGCCTAGTGATTCAGGGGGACTGTGGGCTTCCTAGAGGTGGCGTAGGTCATTAGTTGGATCTTTTTCTTGGTCCCACAAAGTCCAGAAGTGGGCTTATACCCAAGGGGATCCTTCAATGCTTGCTGATTGACCCACTGGGGAAAAGCAGCCCCAATCACACCCAGTCACCCTGCTCCTGCCAGAGGACAGGAGAGCTGCACTCGCATACCAGGAGCAGGGCAAGGCCAGGATACCTTCTGCCGGCCTTCTCAGGGCCTCCCTCCTCCTCCCAACTCCAGAATGGAATCTCCTTCCTCCCTGCCTCTAAGAATCACACACACATGTACACACACACAACATGCATGTATAGATACATACACTCTGTGTTTCTCAGAATGTGTAGCTTCATCTTTCTGTCTCCCACGTGTCTGTGTTATTCAGACGCACAGACACCTACACTCAGAAAAACACACAGCAACACACAGACACACACACACACACACACACACACACACACAGAGGAATATGCATGCAAAGACAGAGTGCGTTAATGCAGGTCGGAGCATGTTCCCAGGGGTCTCCACCTGCCTGTCACTCTGTGTGTTTGGGGCTAAGTGGGTAGGCATATACACACCCTCTCTGGGTGTTTCTGAACATGTGGGAGAGCGTGTGTGCCCTTTTATCTGTGTTTCCACTCCATTCCGTCATCTGTTCTTTCCCTAGCTTGTATCTGCAGCCTCCCCCTAACCCTCTATTTCCACTGTTTCTGTATTTCTCTGTGCATATCAGGTACAGTGACACAGACAAAGACATAGAAACACTCACATGCACATTCAGAAACACAGACTCAGATGCAGAGATGTCCCTGTACAGATACATACACACACACACACACACACACACACACGGCACTGTACATATGTCCCTGTCAGATGTGCAGGGACAAACACCCCCTCCACCCCACGCTGGGAATACAGAACTATGACTGGGGACCCTGCAGGCAGGCAGCACACACCTACCTCGGCTCCCTCTCTCCCTGCTGAGTGAGCCCTGTTTGGGAGCCCCCACTGCGGTTCCACCACCACCTACCTGGGTCTGACACATTTCTCCCGGAATAGGGAGGAGCAGAGCATGGCAAACAACTCAGTGCCCCAGAGCTGTGCCTTGCATGTGTGTGGCACCCTGCAACCCTCAAAGCAGTTTCCAACCAGGCCTCTAGGATCTGCCTCACAGCAGCCCTGGCTTCCACACAGGTGAGCATGGCTTTGCAATCAGAAGGCCCAGGTATGGAAACCTGGGGCAAGTTGGACGGCACCCTCCCCACGGAACTGTTGAGAGGGTTAAATGACAGATGTTTACCACAGTGCTGGCACAAAGTAGGTGCCAAACATAAAATGCCAAACCACTGCAGAGGGAGAAAGACCTTCTAATGCCCCCACATCTGCCCTTGCCAACTATCTTGCTGAGACCCTCACAGACACATTTTTTCCCTTGATACGCCACCTTCCCTAAGCTGGGGACCATGACTGGACCCAACCACAGCAATGTCCACCATCCAACCTCCGCCACCTACCCCTTCTATGGGTCCTCTCTCGCCAACTTGGCGATAGTCTCCAAAGTGACTGTTCCAATGCTTCCAACTACCCCACCGAGATCCATCCATCCCACATGGCTGAGAAGATGTGTTCCCTTTGTTCTGCTCTTCCTCACTTCCAAATGCCATTGTGGTTGTTAATATTGAGTGCCAACCTGATTGGACTGAAGGATGTGAAATATCATTCCTGGGTGTGTCTGTGAGGGTATTGCCAAAGGAGATTAACATTTGAGTCAGTGGACTGGGAAAGGTAACCCACCCTCAGTCTGGGTGGGCACAATCTAATCAGCTGCCAGCATGGCCAGAACAAAAGCAGGCGGAACGTGGAAAGACTAGACTGGCTTAGCCTCCCAGCCTACATCTTCTTCCCGTGCTGGATGCTTCCTGCTTTCAAACATTGGACTCTAAGTTCTTCAGCTTTGGGACTCAGACTGGCTTCCCTGCTCCTCAGCTTGCAGACGGCCTATTGCGGGACCTCAACTGTGATCATGTGAGTCAACACTCCTTAATAAACACTCCTATATATATATGTCTACCCTATTAGTTTTGTCCCTCTAGAGAACTCTGACTAATACAGTCACCATCTTGACCTTCCACCCTGCCCGACCCTGTCCTCCCCTCTGAAAGGAAGGGGCCATCTTTCTCCTGGCCATGGCTGATCCGTGTCCATCCTCGGCATCCCACCTCCTCCCACACTCACCACTACCTCCTCCCCCGTTTGTCCTCTCTGGGCCTTGTGTCTGTTGCGTCTCCATCCTCTGGCCCTTTCTAGTTCTCCCACCTCTTTCACCAACTAACTTCCTCAGAGAACAGCCTCTGGCCACCATGTCACCCACCACACTCTCTGGTCTCTCGCAGTGTGGCTCCAGCCCACCGCTCCATCCGGGTAGCTTCCTAAGCCATTCTCTAGTGACTGTTCACGACCAGGTTCAAGGGCCTCAACTCACCTCCCAGGCCCTGAAGCATGGCTGTTCCATTTTCTCAACATCTACTGAACACCCTTTTGGGAGGTGGAAGCCCCTGTGAAGATGTTAAACACACTTTCAAGTGCTGCGTCTGCTGATAAAACACACACTGATGGAAGCCAGGGAGAAATTAACAGCCTTTGCTTGTTGTCCATCAGGACCCAGAAATAGACCCTCACTTCACCCGCTGCAAGGAACAATGTGATCCTCCTGCAAGACCCCCTTTTTACCACTTCTGTGAGCCCCCTCCCCACTGTAGCATGCTGTGTGCTGTGGCTTCCCACAGCCAGTACATGGCACCTTTTTCTGGGGTGGGGTGTGAAGACTTTCTTTGGGCTACTGAGCCCATGCTGCCCCCACATAGGCAGAGCTAGAAGTGTCTGGAAATGTATGACACTTAACCTGCCTCTGCCCTGCCCTTCATCAAAGACTAAATGAAACAGGAAAATGAGCCCTCATCAAACCTCCGATGCCCTGGGTCAGAACAACGCTGAGGCTTCACACAGGCCCTAGAGCAACCCCACAGCGGGGCTGGAGCTGCCCTCTTCAGGACCTGCCTGGGAGCACACCCTTTCGTGCCTCCTGCCCTGTCTTGTTCTGCTTCCTTGGGTCTGTTGTGGGGGCACTTTCTTCCTCTACTACCTGCATGTGAATCTCGTCTCAGCGTCTGCTTTAGGGCCACCTGACCTAAGACAGGCCCTTAGCAAGTCAAAGTTCAAAAATCTTCACACAGGTGGGCTCCCGCATCGTAACTGTAGTTGTATCCTTTTATACCCAACCAGCACGTTGGGAAGGGAATTTCTCTTTTTGATGCTTTTATGTCATTTGAATTTTTATAATTAATGTATTAATTCTATAATGCAAATGAAAGTAAATACAAACAAATTCATAAATAAATCATAGCTTCATTCATACCAACACCTTATTTAAAGCCTTAGAGTGGCCAAGTGCAGTGGCCCATGCCTGTAATCCCAGCACTTTGGGAGACCAAGGCAGGTGGATCATTTGAGCCCAAAAGTTTGAGATCAGCCTGGGCAACACAGCCAAGCCTCACCTCTACAAAAAAAAAATACAAAAATTAACTGAGCATGGTGATGGGCACCTGTAGTCCCAGCTGATAGAGAGGCTGAGGTAGGAGGATCACTTGAGCCAAGAAGGTTGAGGTTGCACTCCAGCCTGAGTGACAGAGTGAAATCCTATCTCAAACAAAACCCAAAACAAAACCTTTAGAATG